AAGGATAATGCAAGAACTCACCGACTCCATCAAAAGACCAAACTTGAGAATCATGGGCATCGAAGAAGGAGAAGAGGTGCAAGCGAAGGGAATGCGTAATATATTCAACAAAATAATAACGGAAAATTTCCCAAATCTAGAGAAAGATATTCCCATACAGATGCAAGAGGCCTCCAGGACACCAAACAGACCAGATCAAAATAGAACTACCCACGACATATCATCATTAAAACAACAAGTTCAGAAACTAGGAAAGAATATTGAAGGCTGTAAGAGAGAAAAAACAAGTAACATACAAAGGTAAACCCATCAAAATCACAGCAGACTTCTCAACAGAAACATTAAAAGCAAGAAGAGCGTGGGTGAGATCTTCCGGCACTGAATGAAAATAACTTCAACCCCAGGATACTCTACCCAGCAAAACTATCATTCAAAATAGATGGAGCAATAAAAGTCTTCCATGATAAGCAGAAACTAAAACAATATGTGACCACAAAGCCACCACTACAAAGATTCTCAAGGGATTCTGCACACAGAAAGTGAAACCCAACTTAACCATGAAAAGACAGGCAGCACCAAACCACAGGAAAAGAAAAAGCAAGACAGTAGAGAGTAACTCAACTTAGGTACACACAATCAAACCTTCAAACAACTAAGACAACTAAATGACAGGAATCACCACATACCTATCAGTACTAACACTTAATGTTAATGGACTTAATTCACCCATCAAAAGGCACCGCTTGACGAAATGGATTAAAAAGGAAGATCCAACAATTTGTTGCTTACAGGAGACCATCTCACCAACAGAAATAAGCATAGGCTTAGGATGAAAGGCTGGAAGAAGATTTACCAAGCCAATGGCCCCCGAAAACAGGCAGGAGTAGCAATACTTATCTCTGACAAAGTAGACTTCAAACCTACATTGATCAAACGAGATAAAGAAGGACATTCCATACTAATAAAAGGGGAAATAGACCAAAAAAATAATTATCAACCTGTATGCACCCAATGTCAACGCACCCAATTTCATCAAACATACCCTGAAAGACCTAAAGCATATAAACCCAACACAGTGGTTGTGGGAGACTTTAACACCCCATTATCATCAATAGATAGGTCATCCAAACAAAAAATCAATAAAGAAATCCAAGATCTAAAATATGCAATAGATCAAATGGACCTAGTTGATGTCTACAGAACATTTCATCCAACTTCTACACAATATACATTCTTCTCAGCAGCCCATGGAACCTTCTCCAAAATAGATCATATCCTAGGGCACAAAGCAAGCCTCAGCAAATATAAGAAAATAGAAATTATACCGTGCATACTATCTGATCACAATGCAGTAAAAGTAGAACTCAACAACAAAAGTAAAGACAAAAAACATGCAAACAGCTGGAAACTAAATAACTCATTACTTAATGAAGAATGGATCATCGATGAAATAAAAGAGGAAATTAAAAAGTTCCTGGAAGTCAATGAAAATGAAAACACAACCTACCGGAACCTATGGGACACAGCTAAGGCAGTCCTGAGAGGAAAGTTTATAGCCATGAGTGCATATATTAAAAAGACTGAAAGATCCCAAATCAATGACCTAATGATACATCTCAAACTCCTAGAAAAACAAGAACAAGCAAATCCCAAAACAAATAGAAGGAGAGAAATAATAAAAATAAGAGCTGAAATCAACGAAATAGAAACCAAAAAAACCATACAAAGAATTAATGAAACAAAAAGTTGGTTCTTTGAAAAAATAAACAAGATCGATAGACCCCTGGCAAACCTGACTAAAATGAGGAGAGAAAAAACCCAAATTAGTAGAATCAGGAATGCAAAAGGGGAGATAACAACAAACACCATGGAAGTCCAGGAAATCATCAGAGACTACTTTGAGAACCTATATTCAAATAAATTTGAAAATTAAAGAAATGGACAGATTTCTAGATACATATGATCATCCAAAACTGAACCAAGAGGAAATTAATCACCTGAATAGATCTATAACACAAAATGAAATTGAAGCAGCAATCAAGAGTCTCCCCAAAAAGAAAAGTCCAGGACCTGATGGATTCTCTGCTGAATTCTATCAGACCTTTAAAGAAGAACTGATACCAACCCTCCTTAAACTGTTCCACGAAATAGAAAGGGAAGGAAAACTGCCAAACACATTTTATGAAGCCAGTATTACACTTATCCCAAAACCAGGCAAAGACACCTCCAAAAAGGAGAACTATAGGCCAATCTCCTTAATGAACATTGATGCAAAAATCCTCAACAAAATAATGGCAAACCGAATTCAACAACACATCAAAAAGATTATTCACCACGACCAAGTAGGCTTCATCCCAGGGATGCAGGGTGGTTCAACATACGAAAATCAATAAACGTAATAAACCACATTAACAGAAGCAAAGACAAAAACCACTTGATCATCTCAATAGATGCAGAAAAAGCCTTTGATAAGATCCAACATCATTTCATGATAAAAGCTCTAAGAAAACTAGGAATAGAAGGAAAGTACCTCAACATTATAAAAGCTATATATGACAAACCTACAGCCAGCATTATACTTAACGGAGAAAAACTGAAACCATTCCCTCTAAAATCAGGAACCAGACAAGGATGCCCACTATCTCCACTCCTATTCAACATAGTACTGGAATTCCTAGCCAGAGCAATTAGGCAAGAAGAAGGAATAAAAGGAATACAAATAGGTAAAGAAACTGTCAAAATATCCCTATTTGCAGACGACATGATCCTATACCTTAAAGACCCAAAAAACTCTACTCAGAAGCTTCTAGACATCATCAATAGCTATAGCAAGGTAGCAGGATATAAAATCAACATAGAAAAATCATTAGCATTTCTATACACTAACAATGAGCAAACTGAAAAAGAATGTATGAAAACAATTCCATTTACAATAGCCTCAAAAAAAATCAAATACCTAGGTGTAAACCTAACAAAAGATGTGAAAGACCTCTACAAGGAAAACTATACACTTCTGAAGAAAGAGATTGAGGAAGACTATAGAAAGTGGAGAGATCTCCCATGCTCATGGATTGGTAGAATCAACATAGTAAAAATGTCTATACTCCCAAAAGTAATCTACATGTTTAATGCAATTCCCATCAAAATTCCAATGACATTCATTAAAGAGATTGAAAAATCTACTGAAATTTATATGGAAACACAAGAGGCCACGAATAGCCAAGGCAATACTCAGTCAAAAGAACAATGCAGGAGGTATCACAATACCTGACTTCAAACTATATTACAAAGCAATAACAATAAAAACAGCATGGTACTGGCACAAAAACAGACATGAAGACCAGTGGAACAGAATAGAGGACCCAGATATGAAGCCACACAACTATAACCAACTTGTCTTTGACAAAGGAGCTAAAAATATACGATGGAGAAATAGCAGCCTCTTCAACAAAAACTGCTGGGAAAACTGGTTAGCAGTCTGCAAAAAACTGAAACTAGATCCATGTATATCACCCTATACCAAGATTAACTCAAAATGGATCAAGGATCTTAATATCAGACCCAAACTCTAAGTTGATACAGGAAAGAGTAGGAAATACTCTGGAGTTAGTAGGTATAGGTAAGAACTTTCTCAATGAAACCCCAGCAGCACAGCAACTAAGAGATAGCATAGATAAATGGGACCTCATAAAACTAAAAAGCTTCTGTTCATCAAAAGAAATGGTCTCTAAACTGAAGAGAACACCCACAGAGTGGGAGAAAATATTTGCCAGCTATACATCAGACAAAGGACTGATAACCAGAATATATAGGGAACTTAAAAAACTAAATTCTCCCAAAACTAATGAACCAATAAAGAAATGGGCAAGTGAACTAAACAGAACTTTCTCAAAAGAAGAAATTCAAATGGCCAAAAACACATGAAAAAATGCTCACCATCTCTAGCAATAAAGGAAATGCAAATTAAAACCACACTAAGATTCCACCTCACCCCTGTTAGAATAGCCATCATCAGCAACACCACAACAACAGGTGTTGGGAGGATGCGGGGAAAAAGGAACCCTCTTACACTGTTGGTGGGAATGTAAACTAGTACAACCACTCTGGAAAAAAATTTGGAGGCTACTTAAAAAGCTAACATTGATCTACCATTTGATCCAGCAATACCACTCTTGGGGATATACCCAAAAGACTGTGACACAGGTTACTCCAGAGGCACCTGCACACCCATGTTTATTGTGGCACTATTCACAATAGCCAAGTTATGGAAACAGCCAAGATGCCCCACACTGACGAATGGATTAAGAAAATGTGGTATCTATACACAATGGAATTTTATGCAGCCATGAAGAAGAACGAAATGTTATCATTCGCTGGTAAATGGATGGAATTGGAGAACATCATTCTGAGTGAGGTTAGCCTGGCCCAAAAGACCAAAAATCGTATGTTCTCCCTCATATGTGGACATTAGATCAAGGGCAAACACAACAAGGGATTGGACTTTGAGCACATGATAAAAGCGAGAGCACACAAGGGAGGGGTGAGGATAGGTAAGACACCTAAAAAATTAGTTAGCATTTGTTGCCCTTAACGCAGAGAAATTAAAGCAGATACCTTAAAAGCAACTGAGGCCAATAGGAAAAGGGGACCAGGAACTAGAGAAAAGGTGAGATCCAAAAGAATTAACCTAGAAGGTAACACACACGCACAGGAAACTAATGTGAGTGAACTCCCTGTATAGCTATCCTTATCTCAACCAGCAAAAACCCTTGTTCCTTCCTATTATTGCTTATACTCTCTCTACAACAAAATTAGAATAAGGGCAAAATAGTTTCTGCTGGGTATTGAGGGGGGGGGAGAGGGGGGTGGGTGGTAAGGGAGGGGGGGGCAGGGGGGAGAAATGAACCAAGCCTTGTATGCACATATGAATAATTAAAAAAAAAAAGAACTATACTGAATAAATAATAAATAAATAAATAAGAAAGTTAAAGTCTACTTACATCTCTTTTACGCTGATCTTTTTTCAACTGAGCAATTTCTCTGTTTCTTCTAGACTCTGTCAATCTGGCTTTCTCTTGTTCTTCTTTCATTTGCTTCATTAGGCGAACCTAAAATTAGGTATACACATCTATCAGATTTACTCTATCATAGCATTCGTTACATAAACCACATGTGTGGAAGTAAGTTCTTAGAATTCTGATTACTTATCATGGAAATACTTGGAGTTTTGTTGCATGATTTAAATATTCATTTCTTATGCTTCAGGATTAATACATTTATATTTCTAACACATTTCTACCAAATTATTTAGTGCTCTATGTTTTTTATATTCAATGTTCAGTTTTTCTATGATTTGAATGAAATTCAAATCAGTAGCTGTGTGATCTAAAACAAGTTACTTAACCTGTCTTGTAGGCTTTGATTTTCTCATCTGCAATTTTCTTGTATCTATAATGAGAAATCAGTGAGCTTATAACCTGATAATGCTTATAACAGAGCCTGGTACACAGTAAGTACTAAATAATTTTAAGCTACTATAGTTGTTACTAACAATTATACAATATAATAATTTAACTACTTCCTAAATCATCTCCATGTTAACTGTTTTAAGGAAACAATATTAGTTTTCCTGACAGATTTTATAATAATTAATCCCCCAACCAAAACAGATACAAGTATTTACATATTCTTTGTACTTTTCCATGCATGAGAATAACAAGTATCAAATTCAAGGTAGTTGCCATCTCTTGAGGAAGAGGAGTATGATCAGGAAGTTATTATAGGAAGCTCAATGTCTACCTGTTTATCTTAAACTGGATAGTGGACTATAGTGTTTGTTATTATCCAAATTTTTCTGCATGTATGAATTATTTTATAGTTTCGTTAACCTTGTTTATGAGGTTTAAGAGGAGAAATATCCATCAAAGCCCTGTGGAACACATGGTTTTTAGCTTACTCTGAAGAAAGCTTTGTGAGGATGACTGTGGAAAAAACTTCCAATTGCCAAAGGGAAGTGTGTCATTTGTAAGGCTGGGTTACTACTGACTACGGAAAGAACCACAACATCTTCTTTTGTCCCACATGGCACAAGCGTCCTCAGCATCAGTCAATACCTTTGTTTTTTTCATTTCCATCACATCCTGCTGAGTTTCTTCAGCTGCATTTTCATACTGAGACTGATTCTAAGCAACCTCGATTGCTCTTTTTGGGCTGTCTGAAGTCTCTGCAATTCTTTATTCATGGCTTGGAGTTTCTTTCTATCAGACTTAATTTTTTTTGCCTTTTCTTCTGAGTAAGATTCCACGAGCCTAAATGACCCAAAGGATATTACTTTAGTTTTGTGAACATATATTTTTATTTCAAGCTTTCACAACTTACAACATTAGAGAAGTGTACCCTCCCAAATATCCAAACTTCAGACTCTCGTCTTCTCTAAACCATTTCTCTTTATTGTCTACTCAATCTGTTTAACAATTATTAAAACTTGTATTTAAAATGTCCTAAGTATAAATTAAGACGAATACAATAATCAACCATACTTTGAATTAAATTAATTAAATAACCTAGATACTTATCACTACAAATAAATAAATAAATAGATAGGTAAATAGATAAATAAATAAGTAACAATAGTAGCTAATGTAGCCTACCTTAGCCAAATGGCTACAGGCCATATTTTTAAAATAAAAAGCATGGACTGACTTGTAAAAAGAACAAAACTTCTAATTTTCTCATCTAAAGGAAGAGGAAGGTATTTGATGCTTGTTTGAACTTTCACCTTCATTAAATAGCATTCTTCCTACAGTTTTGGAGCACCTGGTCTCTTTCAAGCTGAGTGTCCCGAATTTTATGCTGTGCATCCATTGAGCTTTCTTCATACTGCCTTTTCAGTGTCTTAGTCTCTTCTGGCTATTTTCTAGTTCATCAATTAGCTTTTTGTTAATTGCAATTTCACAGGTATATGTTGCTAAATCAGCTTGATAGTTGGCTATTTAAAAGAAGAAAAAAATCCAGGAATGGCCCAAATATCATAATTGTTACAAAACAAGAAAGAATATAAAAGTAATCATCTATATTCGAGTATTCACTGGCAGCTACTGAGGAAAATTTCGATTTAAACCAAAATCTAAAAGCGTGAATAAACAGAGCATTCAATAGATGCAGACAAGATACACCTGGGGTAAAGAGAACAGGATCATGCAATGGACTAACTCCTGTAAACAGAGGAATGCCTCCTTGCTTAGCACCCAAGCCTTGGAGGTGTTAGCGGGCCAGTAGTCACTAAAAGGTCTCTCATTAAAGATGAAATGAGGAATGTTAAAGGCTTTCAACCAAGGTTTAAACAACTTCCCAGAACGACTTTCTGCCCTCACACTAAAGGTCAAGTCCTTTTTCATTTGATTCAGAATCTGATTCATCAGAGCTTTCACCCCTTCAATGTCATCCTCTCCTCATCCCCTCTTCTTCCTGCGTCCTATGATCACTCACTTGCTTGACTTTCTTCCTGAAATGTGATTTGTGACCATTATTAGTACAATATTGGAAAAGCAAACTGATTGCATTGATAAGAAAGATGGTAGAGTACAAAGCACAGAAGCCCAAAAATTTTACTTTTCAGCAGTTCAAAAGTCATTCCAAGATTTTTTTAAGGTTTTCATATAATAATTTTGTTTAAAGAGTACTTTATCTCTCATGGTACTTAATTTCCATACTCACACAATGCTGTCGCATATACCAGATTGGACAGTTACCAATTTTATAGTTCATGCTTCTGAAGAAAAGAAGTCAAGAATAGTACACACTGGATGGAACTCATTTCCCTCTTCTATAAGTTAATACAGTTATCAGTAATCAAGAACAAACTAACTCCAGTGAGTAGTTTGTAAGTTCATTCTTCCATGCTTACCATTTCTAAGTCATTGTTTTCTTTTCTGAAACATACTTTTCTTCTTCTTTCCTGGTCAATGTCTGCATTATCCTCCTTTACTGGCCAACCTAACAAAAAGGAACAGAAAGATATGGTGTTAAACTTCAAAGGAAAATGTTCACTTTTGTCTATCAGATTTTTTAAATGTCAATCATTTATTAAAACAAACCAACAGAGATGGTCACTTATAGGCAAAACTTCCTGTCTGAGCTCAGAGGAAAATGAGTTGCCCACTCAACCAATAACTAAATATTACATCACTGAGAAAACGCTTTATTTCTAGAAACAAGGAGGAATACATTATACCCTGAGGCTAATTCATATGATGAAACATAGAGAACTGTGTTCATAAATAACAGCCAATAGCACAGTAAAGCATTTAAATCAAAAGAAACCGAGAGAACTTTTTTTTTCCCACTGAATACATAATACTTTTCTCAACAAATGTAAAGCTACAAAAACTGCATTTTGATTGGATGTCCTAATAAATTTACAGAATTAATTAAAGATTCAAAGTACTTGCCAACAACTTGCTTTTTTGTGTCTACACTGATGGATCCATTCAGAGTAGTGTGTCAAATCTTTCGTGGGCCATCCCCACAGCATAGGGCACATCTGTTTCCTACGGGGGGCACTTTCCATACCAGAACCGTCTAAAGTTTAAATGCCTTACTAACTTGATAGGAATGTCCAGGGTTTTGACAAGCTTATCATCCATGCAGTTGAAGTCCTCCTCTTTATTATCTAGTTATATAGTTGGAAGCCCTGCTACGTAGTTATCTACAGCCATAACTACACACTGGTGTCAGATAATGGTTACAGCCAAACTAATATGACCCTGGTGGTCCTGAAGAAAAGACAGTAGTAGACTGCAATAAACAAAGTGCACATCCAAATCATTCTATTCTTTTGGGGTGTAGAAATCATAATCAACTATGCACAGAAATCGCACTTCTGTTTACATTTAATCAATATTTAAATAATAGTAAGAGTGAACTTTAAAATGAATCTATATGCTTCTGTGCTATAGTAACATTTTCAAATCTTTAAAAATAAGAAGAATACTCCAAATGAGGCAATATTTTCCTATTCAAATTTCTTTAGAAAAAGTTATAAAATTTTATCAGAATAATTTTATAATAGCTATCATTTCTTTCAGATATTCTGCTGTTTAAATAGTTTCTCTAATCCATGGATTTATTTTTAGTTTCTAAGCAAATAACTTAATCTGATTTAAGCCCTTTTATCATTACTTAGCTCTAATATTTATCTCTAGGTTTTTATTCAAACAGGTATTTTTGTACTCAGAACAATATAAATACAAATGCTTTCTCCTTGTATGCACTTTCCAGAATTTGTAATTTATGTTTATGTGATTATTTATTTGATGTGTGTCTTCCCCAATAAACTAAAAGCCTCGTGATAGCAAGCCTGTGTGGGTTGGCATTATGTCCACAATATCTAGGACCTGGCCTATAAATGTGAGCTAGTGTCATTAAGTCAAGCAATCCCTGTGCCTATACAGGAGCACTCATCTTTGAACATGCCTATGTGTCTCACACACTAGTTAAGCTAGAACGGAATGGCAAAGTTTGAAAAATGCATGGAAGACAGTCCATCTCTGGAGTAAGAAGAAAGTGTTGATACAAGTATCAATAAAATACTCATAGCTAGAAATCAAGTAAATTATAACAGGGTTTCATGAGCATTGTTAAAATCGTTGTATTAGAGAAAAATCAACTTGGAGAAAACTAGGAACCACCAAGAAAGAACCTTTATCACAACTAAGAAATAATTTTACACGACACATGCATGCCTCTTTAGGTTGCTTACAATATTCTAAAACTGCTGATTTTTCACCATCATGCAGTTCAAGCTAACTAACATGCAGTTCAAGAAGAACCCCCTCTTCATCCAATCATATTAAACAGCCAGCAACACGTACTCAAATAGTGCTACACTTGAGGCTTAGGCCCAAGGTTTAGAGCTAGAAAAGGAGAATGTGTTAGGAGGAAAAGGTCACCCTGTTCCCCACCCACTATGGATTCCCATTCTCACCTGCAACTGCTGCAGCACCTAATTTTCCTTACCTTCAGTTCTTTCATTACCTCAAGTTCCATCCCAAAACCCCTTTGCCTCAGGTTTATGGCCACACAATGACTTTATCCCAAACACTTGACTCAACACACCCTTCTGCTCCCTCAAATCACCAATATCCAGTTTAACAAATGTTAGCTTTCACTTATATATTAAATCATGTAAGGTGTTCATGCTGCTCAGATGCAGAAAAATCAGCAGTTATAACTTTACTCATTTGCCTTTATAAATCACTCTTAAGACAAGCTTTTAACAGACAAGTTGATACTTATAATTATTATTCTTCAAATACTCAAGTTTTCCTTGATAAACTGAGGCAAATTGATACCTAAAATAATCATCTAAACAGCATTGGATGATATTTAAATCTGCACCTTTACAGAATAGGAATCTTGGGAGCAGGAAGGAACATTAGAAATTAATCCCTTCATTTGACAAATAAAAAAGAAACTGTGGCCTGGGGAAGTTTATCCGTTCAAGGGGATGAAAACCAAGTGTTCTGACTCCTAGGCCAGTTTTCTAGAATCTTGCAGTCAAAATTCAGCTCAGACACCTGACAAAGCTGCATCATGAGGAGCTTGTTATGAAGAACATCAGGCTCCACTCAGACCTACTGAATCTAAGAATTCATTTCATCAAAATCCCCAGAGATATCAATGCATGTTTATGATTGACAAGTACTTCCTAGGACACTAAATGGCTCTGCCTTCGCTGTACTTTGTGAATCACATTGGAAGGAACCTCTATTTACTAAGTACATTTGCTTAAAGGGCTTGAATATTTTAAGGTTGTAAAATGCTTCCACACATACCTTTAATGATGCACCTCATTTTGACCTTTTTCCAAATGCAAAGTGCTTTAATTCAATTCTAATGTATGTTGTCCTAAATATATAATGATGATCTCATGTGAGTTTTCATGTGATCTACAATTATAATTATAGTTACAGAATACTAGTCATAGATTTGTAAACTATAAGCTTGAGAACTTCAGAAGATTATGTAACATATAGGATATAATTATGGGTAAATATTGTAATATAACTTATAATTTCTTTAAGATTCAAGAAATTTAAAGTAATTCATTTAATTGCACAGTAAAAGTTCTCAAGTTCTTATTTTAAGCATAAGATGAATTTCTGAAGTCATGCTTCCAAAATGCTTACATATTCTTTTGAGACTATTTTAGAAAAATCTATAAGGAAAACTTCCAATAAGAAGTAAAATATTACCATGATTCTTCTTTAAATAATAATTCTGAATCAGTGAAAAGTAAATTTTCATTATATAGAGTTCAGAAATATGCTTCTAAATATTGTTCAAGTTTCAAACAGAAAAAACAAGACTATCCTGATTTTGATGCTCACTTAAAATGTGTATTAAAAGTAAAAATTGTTTTCCTAGTTCAACCTTAAGAATGCCTTGTAAATATTATCTGTAGTAAGGCCACAGTTTCCTTTTTCTATGTTGCCATTTTAATGTTGCTTTCCAACAATAATTACACCAAATAAACGAGAAAAAATCCCACCCTTGAGTTAATATGAGCTGCAACAAAATGTCAGTTCCCGCCCAAATTAGTAATTCCCATTCTGCTCACAAGTTTCTGAAAGACACAGAATTACCTATTTTTTTTAATAAATCAAATAGTGGAGGGTTATTTGATCAATTTTATTTTGAAAAAGGTAAATTATAATCATAGTCATGATAGCTTATTCTGAACTAAATTAACTTGCTTGAGTTTTAATTCAAGCAACTAGTGAGAAATTTATACTTAAAAAGTACTTTTTAAAGCTTTGGTGTTTTGTTATTTTTATAAAAATTATCATTACTTTTAGAAGTACATGGACTATCTAGTCTGAAGCACTCTGTAATTCTATAACACATTTCCTGATGAATGGCAACTAAGTATTTAAATGACATTTTAATAAAAAACCTGGGAAATATTCCAACCTTCTTTCTTCTCGATTGCTTTCCTCAAGTTTCTGTAGCCTTCAAAATCACGAGGCACAGTATTGGAAGGCCAAGCCAATGAAGGACAAACCAGACAGTAAAAAGCGAAAGTGATAAGAAGGTAAAAATGATACATGAGCTTGAAGACTTTAAAATAAAATTTAAAAGATATCATCAAAGGACAATTACACAGTAAAAAGGCAGTACATTTTGTCTGAATCAAAAGTAAGGAGAAAAATCAAGTAGTAGAAAACTAAGAAGAGTACATAGGATACTCGCTGAAATCATTTAACAGTAAAATGTACAATTTATGTAAGTTGATAAATAGTAAGAGTTTTGAGATGCCATTGCTTTTTAAGTCTCAAATGGATCAATTTCCCAATCTCCCCCTACAAAAAGCCCACATTCAACAATATCCTCTTCTTTTTAAATCTTTATGAAAGATTTTTTATGGCATCTGTCAAAATAACTTCACAAAGTAATGCCTTTATACTATAATATGAAAATACTAATACTACATACTAGTTGCTATTTTTAAAAACTTTGTTTATTCTTTAATATACTACATGTGAACATCACTAAATCTAAGCAAAAAAAAAATCCTGTATCAAAATTATACATGAAATGGTATTACAGGCAAATGAATATGGTTGCTATGTTATCGATGAAAAATTATAATATTACTAATTGAAAATAAAAATCTTATAATATTGGGAATAACAATTTTACTGGACTAATTATTTTAAACTAAGTAACCAAGAGGATGTAACTAAGGCAAAAGTAGAAAAAAATGGGAAATGTAGTATTTTCCATTAGTAAGATTGTTTTTTAGTAAGTATAAGAAAAACTATAAGTTTGTCAACATATAGGTTTTGAAATACAATGTGACCAATACACAACGTGAAGATCTCTACTCACTGGAATTTACTGTACCCCAAAATTTGTCATGTAGAAAAAAAGATTGACATGCCAGGTTCTGACTACACATACAGCAATCTGCATATTGCACACTTCCACCCAGA